CCTCCGAAAGACAAAAGCACGCAGCCAAACCGATGGAAGCGCCAGGGACAATAGTCGAGAGTCCATGAATCTTGATCTCCGCCTTCGAACTCCTTGAAACTGAAACCAACGGGAGATCACAATAGGATTCCCAGACATCTCCGAAACACCAAGCCGTAGCGGTGAAGCAAGGAGGAGGAACAGGAAACAAGAAGGAGAAGGCAGATTAAGGAAACCTCAATCTCCTCTGACACCACCAAAACATCTCAATAATCAGATCTGTAAAGATCAGACATGAGGAAGAAGAAGAAACACCTAACTTCGGAGAAGAGGTGAGAAAAGCTCCGAAAAGGAAGCACGGAAAACAGAAAGCATAACAAAAATAAAAGCAAGGAGAAAGGGGCTACCGCCGGCCGCTCAGAGGCGCCGACGGCAGCCCACAGCCCAAACAAAGAACGAGAAACTAGAGAGAGGAGGGAGCGTTTTCAAATAAGAGAGAGAAGGAAAAGAGATGCTGATCAACGGGAGAATCTGTTCTATTCCCGTTGCGTCGTCAACGGGCAATTACTTTCTTTAATCGTCGATGGGGGGTAGCTGCGCGAACGTCGTCAGCTTGGACGTCGTTAAAAGGCTCGACTTGACCACAAGCAAACATCCGGACCCGTACAATCTGCACTGGCTCACTGATTTCGGCGCCATCAAGGTTAGTAAACAAGCCCGCGTTCCCTTCGATATTGGCGAATACAAGGACGAACTGGTGTTTGACGTCGCTCCGATGCAGGCAACACACCTACTGTTAGGAACGCCGTGGCAATTTGACCGCAGAGTGTGTCATAATGGCGGTACTAATTGCTACAAGCTTAAGCAGGGTGACCGGAGAATCCTACTGAAGCCATTGTCGCCAGCGGAAGCTCGCGCAGACCAATGCCAGCTGGAGGACCGCAGGACGCCAAGACAAGGAGATTTTGGTCCACCCACTATAATGGCCGGGAGGTACGTATTAACCGCCCTCAAAAGGAAGCAGGAATACCGCCGCCGTCGATGCAGAAGACCCTGTTTTCCCTTGCCTGTGCAGAGTAGGAGAGAGACGGATTTGGGTGGGAGTCTAGACAGCACGTCGCGCCGAGAAGACCAAGCCAACACACTCGGGAATGACCCAGAATTGTGTGCACTACGACAATTGGAGCCGAATCCAGCTGCAACGACAGATCAAATTCGAGCCAAAGACGCTCTGACCACGACCAACTACTGTTCGCGCCTGGTCGAATTGGTTGGGGTAGGTGAGGCTGCTTCGAGCCGATTGGATGGTGTCGACGAGTTCAGGGAGGTTCAAATAATGTGTAGAACCGCAAGCGGCAGCCCGATTTCACACAGAATCGAAACGCCCAAATTAGAATTGCAGTTGCTGGGTTCTGCGAATTTGAATGGTTTCAATGGTGGGGAAAATATCGAGCCCACGTCGGCCCCATCTAGGCTGTGTCGTCACTTGAAATGGGTTGGGATGAGTCCCCATAAGCAAATCGCAGCCAACCCAAGTGTTCAATCTGGAAGTGGAAGCTGGAATTGGCAATCTCCAATTCAGCTAGGTTCATGCGAGCTTGGCGCAAGACTGTGGCGTCTGGCGTCGAACGCGACCTTGGATTTTTTCATGGTCATCGTTGAATCTAGCTATGATGGTGCTACCTATCTAATTTTGTTCCAGGCTAAACTATCATCAAGGCGCAGCGAGAAGGGTGGCCGAGAAATGGTGGAATGTTTGGCATCCGAGTTCTACGACCCTTTTCTAACATTTCATGAACCTGTTTTGTTTTGTAGTCATTTGCAAGCTTTGTGGACAAAGCTTTTTAACAGGGAGGGAATGATGCAGCCCTCGAAGCTGGTCCAAACCCGTCGTTGCTAAAACTTCAATTCACCAACGAAGATGAACGGAGAAGGATCCTGAAGATGGTGATTTTTGCTAAGGCTGGGAGTTGTCTCGAGGTGCTGTTTTGGAGAGCTTATTCAACACAGTTGGAGGAGCTTCGCAGGCGGCTACACGAAGGATATGGAAGTCCAAAACTTGGTAAAGACCATGCTGGAGTGGGCTAGGAGCGACGGAGCTTGGGAGCCCTTGAATCAAGGCCTCGAAGTGGCTATGTAGGCTGTTTCGATTACTTGTTTGGGAGGTGAATTTCTTGTGCCGAAAGACACGTGCGTGTGTTGATTACTTTCCTTCCTTAGATAAGATTCTTTTTCCTTGTTTGCAGTTAGCTTGCTTGTTAATTTCCGTATTCCATTAGTAGTAGAGTTAGGATTGTAGCTGGCTATTTAAATAGAGCTTTAAGCTCGTTGTGGAGTAGAGAAGTTTAATAATAAACCCTTGTTCTTCGAGTTCCCATATTCTTAGAATGTCCTTGATTACTGGATTGATTCCCGTAGTTGAGCGAGCTCAGTATCGGTTGAGTATACCCCCAAATCGTGGTCGAGTTGCTACCTCTAAATCGCACGAGCCTCTTCCCCGATACGAGTGTTGAAGTTGCCCGTCGATCACCATCAAACCTGTATCCTGTTTTTGTTTGATATTTCGACGAATCCTCTCCGGTTTCCTTGGAAACGAGTGAGCTGCGTGATTCTGATTCTTGAGCAACCACCCTTGCTCATATCAACATTTCTATTTTTTTTCCTTTTGTTGAGAATGACAATCGAAGTCTATTGACAATTTTTGTATCGAGAGTGCTTTTTATTTACTTTTAGAATTGGCATGTTGAGCTGAGTGTGAATTGTTAAAAACTCGGTTCAAACCAGACAAGGTGAGCTTAGCTCGGTGAGTATTGTTTTTGGTATGGAGCAAGTTTTATCCGCTTTAGTGTTTTTAATTTATCCTTTTTCTTTTGGATGAGAATGATAATTGAAACCAGACCCAATGCTAACGAGTTTTGTATCGAGAGTGCGTTTTATCTGCTTTTACAATTGGCATGTTGAGCCGAGTGTGAATTGTTAAAGACTCGGTTTAAACCAAAGGTGAGTTGAGCTCGGTGTGTACAGTTTTGGTATGAAGCGAGTTTTATCTGCTTTAGTGTTTTTTATTGATCTTTTCCTTTTGGTTGAGCACCCAAACCTATGGGTATCCAACCTATTCAATATGATCAAAACAACTTGAACCCGGTGTTTACAACTTAAACATAAAAATCATTTGCTCGACCCTTCTCCCTTATTAATGTTCATCGTTGCGTCCACAACATAGAATTATAGATGACAAGCTCTTTACTTTTGGGTCAAAATTCAAACTATTAATTTTTAAAATATCACATACTCGCTCAGACGCGAAGCGATAGCGAGCGGGCTTATGCTAGTATATATATGCCAATGAGGTAAAAGTAAAACACGAAATAGGAAAATATCTTAGCCACTAGATTTACTTGTAGCTCTTTTAAACAATATGATCCTCTTTTTATATAGGAAAACAATACAATTCTACATTAGTTTTTTCAAGTTATCCCGTAACTACGGTACAAAATTCATAAATACTAGGGGAGTTGATCCGCGCTACGCAGCGGCTTTAGATGGGCTTTTTGTTTTGCTCTTTGCAAGCCCATGTACATGCGTATAATCATATATTTTAACCCTTCTTTGTCCATCAAATTGGGGAATCCCTCAATTCATATCTTTACCACCGCAATCCTTCTGCCTCTGCCTCTGCCTCTGCCTCTGCCTCTTCATCTTTTTTTTTACAGGACGAAAGAAACCTAGCCCATGAATTTTGTAACTCCAGTAATCTATCTATCAATCTTCATTTCATCATCCACTGAGGGAAACCCCTCAGAAAACAAAAGAAGAGACTAAAAGAAAGCTTTTATTGGATTTTTTGGCCCAAAGTAATCCCTGTAATCCAATTTCATCTGCTACTTCAATTCGGCTTGACCTCCTTCCATCCCATCCCTTTGTTGAGTGGCGGAGTATTTATCTAATCTCTTTTTAATGGAGTGGAAGAAAATCCTCAAATGAGGTTGTTATGCATGTCGTCCTCAAAGTCATGTATGTTCCTGGATAGATCTGGTGGTGTGTAAGCGCTTGGATGCTTGTCACCATTCACTGCCATAATCAGTGGTTCATGCGATGCGCCAGCACCGCTACTGCTATTCCGGTCCGCTAGGAATTTAGGGAGACAGAGCATGGCGGAGAGTTGATTGATGTTTCAATTTCGATTGACAACGGACCAGTCCCGATTCCCCCTTTGGGTTGGGGATTCTGACCCGCCGCACATCCATGTTTGCCTACCGCAAAGCCTCCACCTTACAGCTTCTCGTCGCTGACATCTCCTCCACCTATCCCTCTGTCATCGAAATCCTCAGGGCAGCTACCTCAAGTGATCATTCCACCATCGATCGTTGCATCAACTCGTCCATTAGAAAGCGGGGAGATTGTTGGCACAGGAACGAAGACTATGGAATACCTAGGGAGGCCCACAGAGAAAGAAGCTCTGGCCAGATATGCATTTGCTTTCTACCCTATCAAAGGGTAAAGGCGAACAAATCATCTTCTTTGGCTATAAGGTTAGGGATTTTGACTGAAGAAGAGGTAAGTGGTTGATTATCTATGGATGGAAATTAGGAGTAAGATGCAGAAACGTGTCGATGGCAAAAGCCATCCATTATTTCCACGCGTCAATGAAGGGCTGGCTGGTCACCAAAGTCAATGACAGTAAATCATATTAGCAAAACTCTTATGCTACAGTAGGCACCTTATAACTTTAATTAATCTTAGTATAATGCTCCGCAGTTCCTCCAAAAACATGTCTTCCCAATTCCAAGCATAAGTCTTGAGAAAAGAGGAGAGGTCAGAAATTCAAAATGTTGCATTTACTTTCACAGATTCAATAATAAAGCATGGTAGTCTAATAATCTGGGAAAAAATCCCAGAATACTCGAGTTATTAAAAAAAATTCCCTAAATACAGTACTTATAAAAGTAATTCCCAAAATACAGCAGTTTCAACATCACTGTCTTTGTCTAAGACAGTGATGTAGATCACCGCTTTCGTCCAAATTACCATTGAGCTGCAACTTTTATCCCCCCTCCCCCTCCTTTTACCATTATCCTTTTACCACTGAATCTCAGGTTTTCATGAAAGTCACTCACATATCCTATGCAAATACTGTCTTAGCTAATACTGTGAATGGATTGATCTGTATGCAGGCAATACACTGGTTGGGTGGTAATGATACTTGGCTTTGGGAACTCACAAGTCTAAAGCTGAAACAAAAGGCTGATAAAAGTATAAAGTTATACTTGCTTTGGTAATCATACTGTTTTGATTTGTTGTTGAGAACCAAGGATCTTGTTTTGTTCAATGAGTTTGTACTATATATGGTGCAGGTATTTCGAACAAGGGGCAGAAGAAAGGAGCTGGGTGATCTCTCAAGCCAAAGTGATTTCTTTGGCAGGTTTTAGTTTCTCATATTTTTGTATTTTCTTAATGAATTAGAACTGCTATGACCTAATGTAAGTTGGTATTTGGTTGGAAATATAATGTGACCATTATACCATTATTGCCCTAAATTGGTTGCATTACGTTATGCTAATATAACCAAATTTATAGCCTTTCTCAACTAATATATATATATATATATATGTAACCAAATTAGCAGTCATATTTAGAACATTTTATAACCAAAAAAATGGTTACATTTAGAACGTATGGTTACCATAAAACATTGGTTGGAAATAATATTTGTGACCAATGAAAATAGTTATTGTTGAACAAATAAATTGGTTACATTATATACTTTTTAACACCAAAATGACTATTCAACGCAGTCATATTTAGAACATTTTATAACCAAAAAAAATGGTTACATTTAGAATGTATGGTTACCATAAAACATTGGTTGGAAATAATATTTGTGACCAATGAAAATAGTTATTGTTGAACAAATAAATTGGTTACATTATATACTTTTTAAAACCAAAATGACTATTCATATTTTGATTATATAGCGACCATAAAATATTGGTAAGGATAAGAGTTTCATAACCAAAAATTTTGGTCACTTAATGATAATTACATTAGCTATGAAGAATAGTTTTGTAACCAAATTCTTTGGTTTTAAACAATTGCTTTTGTGACTTAATCATTTGGTTGGTAAATTATATATGAATTGGTTGGTTTTCATGTTATTTGTGACCAATCAGGTATTCTTTTGTGACTATTTTGACAGTTTTTTTGTTACCAATTGTCTTGGTTGCAAATAAAAAGAATTTGTGACCAATTGGGACTTTCGTCACAAAAATATGATGTATTGTGACCAAACCGAAAATTTGGTCACAAATTGGTTTTCCTAACGCGGCAAATATTACCAAAGCTTCTACCAATTTTTTTTGGTTACAACGTAGAATTCGCGACAAAAATTTGACATTTAGCAACCGTTTATTTCCGTCACAAAAGGCAGTTTCTGTTGTAGTGAGAAATGGCTAAGCCATGGAAATAGAGAGGTGTGTCTAATGGTGAAGAATATGAATCGTCAATACCAAGGTTGTCAACCCGCGGGCTGACCCGAACCCGGTCGAGCTAGTGGGTCAAGGGTTAATGGGTCACCCGTTTTAGCCCGGTTTAGCCTGAAAATATGAAAAGAGTCATTATATTGTACTTATCCTGATAAATTATATCAAATCTCATATAAAATATGAGTTATAACATATAATATTACACCAAAACAACATTTCGTAATTAGATTTAACATATAGTGAAAATTCACACACTTATATAACATCAATATTCAAATGTTCAACTAAGGATTTCAAAAATTGAGTTAGCAGAAAAGATAAATCGGAAAATGGGAACATTTCGCAAACCAAAGGAAAAAAATGACACAATTTGACCTCCATCCCGGTACCTTGTAGAGGTCGACCCGGCGGGTGCGTGCGGCCCGTTTTTCTCACTGGGCCAGGGTTAAATTGGGTCGACCCGGGGGTCGACCCGCGGGTTGACAACGTTGGTCAATACATATACACGCGTTCTTTTTAAAGCTTTCAAATTCTTTGTATTCCTCCCGATCGAACAGATAAAGGAAGAGAGACAGAAAAGAATATGAAGTGACAGATTCTTAACTTCCCAAGGAGAGTAGAGAAGAGGAGAGGCTTTCGTTGAGGGAGTGGGATTGTTTCCCGTTGTTTGAGGTCGAAGGAGAACTCTTAATGGCTGGCTGGGGGAAATTTGTTTCCCGGCTGCCAGAGGTGGCTGCTGGAGTTATTGTTCTGCCGCTAAAGTGACCGCCTTTTCATCTGGTTTTCAAAATTTCCCTACCACACAGCACGTCACCGCTCATTACTCATCAGTCATCAATGAGACGACGGAAGAGAAGCGGGCAACTCAGGTTAATTAATATATTATTATTAATTAATATATTATTATTAAATCGTTGCATTGTAATGAATCATCATAATATAAATACATGTATTGATATAATGTGTGCATTTTAACAACACATTGTTTGGTTGTTGAGATTCTATTTTATGTATTGATTTATATAAAGTTGCTTTTACGTGAAAATGTCACATTTATCCTCAACTTTTAGAATAAGGCAAAAACTATTAGGGATATAAATGGAAAGAAAAAGTTGACACAAATCCAAAACCAACAATCACAACAATCTCAACTTTTAGTTGAGATTGTAAATGCATAATATTTTTGTGATTATGGAAAGAAAACACTTGGGTTAATTACGTGGTTGGTCAGTGAGATTACAAAAAACGTTCATGTTTGGTCACTGGAAATATTTAAATCCAATCTTGGTCACTCAACTTAGTTAAATGGTTCAAGTTTGGTCACTCTCCGTCCAACTCCATTAAACTTGTCTTATGTGGCAGTCAACCCTCAAAGTTGACCGTTAACTCAGTGACGTGGCAATTAAAAAATAATAAATAAAATAAATTTTAATCTTTTATCATTTCCAACTCATTTTCACAATAAAGTAAAATAAATAAATAAAAATATATTATAATTACAAAAAGGGTGACTTCCTCCTCCACTGTCGAAGAAGAGGAGAGGAGAGAAGATCTCGTTCGTGGTAAAGTTCGGCGACGAGAAGGCCACCTTCAATATCCGGGAGACCGACACCGTCCGTGACCTGGAGGAGCTGATGTTTGACTGATTCAAGATTAGCTACTACAAATTGCGTTGTGCTGGTGCGGAATTGCCTACTTTGTTGGAAATTTGGTTGAACCGGACTAACCAAGTCAAACCGTTTTTTGGTTGGACCGACCAACCGGTTTGGTATTAGACCGACCGAACCGATATTCTAATTCCGTGAAGGGACACATCCCTTTGGCCTAGTGGCGGTTGCATTATTTTATGGATAAGGATAACCTTATGGATAGAGGCAACCCTTCATATGGATAAGGATAACCTTTCATATGGATAGAGGCAACCTTTCATATGGATAAATGCAACCTTTCGTATGGATAAAGGCAACCTTTCATGAAACAATGCATGGATTCGGCCCCTATAAATATGTGTGGGGTGGATGATGCCACAGACTATATAAAACATATTCTTCTTCTTTCTTCCAAAAAAAAAAAAATTTCTAAGTATGCTTTAGTGTTCTTGAGCCTAGAACCTAAAGTGGTGATAGTTTTATCCTCGGGAGAAATTTCCTGTAACCCAAGGCTTTGTAGAGGGTGGAAATATTCTTTTCGGAAAGTGAACGTTGTTCACGACTCTATCATAATCCTGGTCACCCGGTCTCGGGCTATCGTACGTGTACCCTCGCCCCTAAAAAGTCCCAACATACTTACGATGACGACGTTGAAGCTATCAGCCTGTATGAGTACTACCTCTTGGAAGGCACGCTGATTGAGGTTGCCAGTGGTAGCAAGTATTGGAGTTTCGCTCACAAGACTTACCCGCCTTCCTACTACAACTCTCAGTAATCTCTCGACTCTCGAATCTGAAATTGCCCTGGAACGACGTAACTTCCCCTGTTATCTCTTCCCCGCTCTTCCGATTTCTCGCACTTTGTTTGTCTGTTCGTTCGTTTGTCTGTTCATGGATGGCCCAAGGATTGGAACTCGGCAATTTATTATGAGACGTACGCTTCTTGTGCTTGTATGGCTACTGAGAATGTTGAAGTCAAAATAGAGTATGTTAATATGCTTTTTATGGTTGTTTGTCACTTGTTTGGCTGCTCTCAACGCCCAAGTTCTCTTTATCTCTGTTCTTTTGAATTTCAAGTTCTTGAGGTTCAAATCTTGTAGACTGTAGAGCCTTCTAGAGTTCCAGCCATTGTTTTAGCTTCATTGTCGATAATACCATGTCAGCTTTTCACCCTATGCCTCTCGATCCTTCATTGTTTCATCACAATCTTCCGACCTAATCTACATTTATTTTATTTATTATTTTTTGATTGTCACGTCACTGAGTTAACGATCAACTTTGAGGTTTGGCTGCCACATCAGACAAATTTAACGGAGTTGGACGGAGAGTGACCAAACTTGAACCATTTAATTAATTTGAGTGACCAAGATTGGATTTAAATATTTTCAGTGACCAAACATGAACATTTTTTGTAATCTCAGTGACCAACCATGCAATTAACCCTTTTACACTTTGACACTTCCAAACATTGTATTGTACACAATACATATATTCAACAAACACACCTCTAACAATCACAACTTTCAAACGACCCCTTAATATATAAAAGACTAATATTAGAATTACTAATTACTATTTATTAGTGTCTCCCAAACTCCTCCAAGTGCAAGTGGCCAAGTTTCAAGTCTTTCTTTTACCTCACTCTCTCATTTTTTTTATACATAAGGTTGACATTCAATTAATTATCAAGACTGAATAGGAACGAGTACAGAAAGGAAAATGCAAAAGGAAAGATACAGAAACTGAAATTCTGCAGAGGAGTTGCAGAAAAGTAACAAACGGAGGAAGCTATTCATTCCAAAACACTCAAACTATCTGCTCAAGCCCAAAAAATCAAAGGGCCACTCCATTTCCTTTCCAAGTACCAACTAGACAGCCCAGCTTAGCAAGCAACAACACCAAACCGGACATCTAAGCTTTCCTCTAACAGGTGCTAGCAGCAACTTTAAACGCCAAAACCATTCCTCAACTAAACACTAGATCTTCAAACATTTCCCCTATCAAGTACGAGTTATAGCTTTAAACACCTGAACCATTCCTCCGCAATTGCACGGTCGACCTTATTTGCACTAATCAGCCAGCCTGTGATCATATAACCAATTCTGTAACAAACAACCTGCGGTGTTGTCTCAACTCCTTCAAAGATACTATCATTTCTTTCTCTCCAAACTGTCCAACAAAGAGCATGGGGAACAGCCGTTGTGCACCAATCAGATGGATTCAATGGTGTTCTCACAGTCCAACCTTGAATAACATTAGGGAGACTTTCTCCAAGAGCACTTCCAATCCTCACAAATTTTTTGATAATTTCCCAGACCAGTCTGACAAATCTGCAGTGAAGGAAAAGATGATCTAAATCTTCTTCGGCAGCACGACAAAGTTCACATCTACTCGCCAGCGCCCAACCTCTTCTTTTCAATACAA